AATATACTACGACTGCCTTGGTAGGCAACAGCTAGTAGCAAGGTCGACGTATCTCGACTTCGGTGGGGATATCGGGCGCCCCCGAAGAGATTCTAGTAGTTATCACTGCCTTGACTGGTGAAGAGCACTCTTATGTCTATAGCTCATACTACTTACAAGAAGTGTTCCACGCCCGCATTAAAAATTCCTAGAAGACACATTGAGACAGCCGATACGAGAAAGCCAGATCTCTCACTCAAGACTATGGGGGGCCTAGTGACGTAGAAGTAAAGACAAGGTTACAGATCCCGTGTGTTAAGCAAATGATATCTTTTTAAGACCTGGCTCTAATGATAACTATTATCGTCAAGTTAACAGCGGCCTTGCTAATAAGTTATCTGGTAAATCATAGGAATATTATTTATTAATAACTGGCTTAGGAGGTACCTAATGAGTTTAAATACCGAAAAGGAGTAAAATGGTAACTACGGAGGTGGTATGAGAAGCGCTTAACTTGAGTTATCTGCGGGTTTCATTATAGGCTTGGGAGGTACTCACCGTAGAATTTCCTTTATCTATAGATAAGTAGATAACATAACATACGTTATGCGACTATAAGTCTGGAATAGATGAAGGGTTATTAGAATGTACCTAAGTTATTAGTGCATGTTATCAGGAAGAGACTCTAGAACTAGCTGGTTATTATCCAATATCTCGCTGGTGGTTTACCTCAGTAACAAGGTCATGACTGTTATTAGCTATATCCCACATATGTAATGTAAACTGTTGACTAGACACCATCCTTTACACAAAATACTACTACGAGTAAGACGACTTAAATAGCGATATCTCGGAACGACATTACTATAACTCCTGTATCTAGTCTTCGAAAGCCGCTACTAGTCACATTAACATAAGACTGTACTGGATGCCCTTGAAAGAGATCAATTATCCGGGTATCCGCGCCACCATATCTAATTACGGGATTTGCATTCTGGTCCGAATGCTACATAGATGACCAACCTAAAAAAAAACGTAGAGCGCTCCTACTAGTAGCGCGGGTGGTATAAGTTACATTTCCTCCTCGTGTGCCTATATTAAACTCTCGTACTTATCCAAGCCCGACCTTTGGGGTTGGTGCTGCTGCTGCTGCTGCTGCTGTGGCTGCGGGGTAGACTGGCTTGGTGCCATAGGTTTCATGGTGCCCATCATGCTGCTCATGCTGCTCATATCTCTGTTCATGCCTCCTAATCCCGAGTTCACCATGCTGTTCATGCTTCCAGCTGGTTGATGAGATAAGCCTCCGAGACCACTAGACGGTTGGGCGAATGCTGATAGTGTCGAACTCTGTCTCTGGGGACCTCCTGGTGGCGGAGGTAAGCTGAACCCCGAGGGCGTACTGCCTCCACTAGACGGTGGTGGAGGAAGAGAGAATGAAGATGATTGGCTCATAGTCGGCCTTGATTGACCAAGGGTCAAATTTGACATCCCCGTGGCTACATTGCCGAAAGACGAAGCAGGCGGGGATATGGGATTAGATGAGCTTGAAGCCCAAGGATTAGGTGTCGCTGCTGCCGAGGTGGACCAGTTGACTGTGGCGGGAGGATTCTGGGGTGTAGTCGACGTGGTCTTAATTGTATTGCCTATAGACGGCTGTAAAGGCTGAGAATATTGGGTAGATGAAGGGGTTAGAGTACCAAATGAATTAAGATCTGGAGTAACTGTTCGGAAAGAAGGTTGGGGTTTGGGAGGTCCGAAGTGACTGGGTCCAGTACCAGCACTAGCAGTAGGACTTGGTGTCGACCAAGAAAATTGAGGTGATTTGATCGGTGGTGAGATGACTGTTGCTGCCGCTGGGGTCGCGTCCCAACCTGCATCCATTGTATCATTCATACTCGTGCTCGGTCCAGATTTCCCTTTCACTAGCCGCTCGAAATCATCCTCCGTGGCCCCGTTCGTTGAATCAAACGTTATTCCACTAACACCCCCAAATCCAATGAAATCATCAGTAGGAGTCACCGCCCTTCCTCCGTTCACGACGGAAAGCTCCTGTAACTTCTTCATTTGCTCTTCTTCAACCTTCCTCGAAAGCGACTTGATTAAGTCCATGAAAGACCGAAATTGTTTGAGGTCTAACAAAGGTCCCAAACTCATGCTCCACAGGATGGGTAAGATGTCCATGGCTACGAAGTCGGCATCCGCGTTGTCGCCCACAACTCGTAGTACGTCTAGCGCGGCCATCATAACTGCAGGCTCTTTGGTTTTGATAGCTTTGATGAGCGGAATGATCTTTTCTTGCATTGTGTACTTGTCTAGAGCGCTGGATGAAGACATCTTTTTCTTCTCGGGGCTTATCCCGTCAAGTCCGTCGTCCGCCGACGATGATTCGTTCGTGCCGCCGCAAAGAATGACGAAAGCTCGACATCCGCGAACCTTGATGGCTAAGCTGCTGGTTTTGCTGAAGACAGCAGCGACAATAGGGAACAGCTCATTCTTAATAGTACTGAAGTCTAAAACTGGTAATATGACTGGCAGACCACGTAAAGCAGCATCGACGAGCGAAGGTGTCGGGGACTCGATGGCTACTAAAACAATCGGTAGGACATCTAGGTGACATTGTTAGCTTGAGACCAAACGTACGACTCCAATATTTTCATGTAAGTAGTAACATCGAAGTTATCGCAAAACCTTGCTATCCTTGATCAATCATGCGAAGGTATTCTATGCTCATCACATAACGCTGTATGGGTATTGAACCGTGGTACGTAACGTAAGTAGCAATAGTAATGGTATAGCGAATATCGGCTTATGTCGGCCGACTATGGCAATTGATAGAGGAAAGACAGGCTTACCATCTTTAAACTCTTTACCAGAAGAGTTCCCAGCAATCTGGTTAAGATTTTCCAAAACAACCATCAATCCAGCATCCCTAGCTGGATCCTTTTCTTGCAACTGTTTAGCATTGACGACGAATATATCTTTAATCCTCGGCCGTATCTTCTCCGAGAACGCTCGCCTCGAGGATGGCAACAGATCCATAATCTTGAAGACATTCTGAAGGATGAGAGACAATAAGTCCTTGTCTTTGAGTTCTTCTAACAGTGCTGGCAATACTTTCTTCTCCATAACCGACTTGGGGAAGGACGGCAGAACTTTATTGAGACCTCTCATGAATTGAGCCTTCTCATTCGGAGTTTTAGCCGGGAAATCATCGAGGAATCGAATTGTGGAAACGAGAATGTTGTCAAAATATTCGCTCTCTTGAAATTCTCGGGCTGTCATGCGCTGCGCGGGACGCCGTGTAATTAATCGGGGTAGTACGTGGGCCGAAAGGTCCCTTGGTAGCGGTCTTTTAGACAGGAAGCCATTCCCAGATGTCGGAACCGTCGAAGACGATGTGAACAATCTCTTATATGCAGATATGCTCCCACTACTTTCTATGGGAGATCGATGAGGTGAATTGTATAATGCGACACATAGAAGGCCCAATGAGAACATGTCAGCTGATGTGGTGAGATTATTATCGAGGACAAAATCAGGCGAAGTATAATCAAGATTGATCTGGACGTGCCGTGGTAGCCTGGGATCTAAGTTGAGAGCTTCCGAGAGGCTGATAGGCTGAACTGAAGTAGGCTTTGATGAGCCCTCAGGTGGGCTACAGAAAGCAAGTCCACTGACTTTCCAATCGGACTATCATCTCGTTAGCAAGGTATTTCTTGAAGATTGTTTCATGATCCATAGCGAAGCACGATGATAACTTTGATCAGAGGGACCGAGACAAGTTCTGAAAGGCTGTCCTCAGAGCCGATGAAAAGTGTCCAAACTGACCTTAGAATTGATTAGTACAGCATCCGGGGTGAGATTGGCATGGACAAGTCCTGCATTCTCGTGCAGGAACTCCAAAGCCTTGCTAATTTGAAGCAACCCCTTCTGTATCTCAAGCTCGTCGATTTCTAGATCCCGCCTCCGTCTAGTACCGCCCGAGTCTTCAGTGACATATCGGCTCGACCGGCCCCCGACGCCGCTCACTCTCTCCTGATCATCCTTCTCTTGTAAGAGGCTTGCTAACGATGTAGTCACCGGCTCGGTAACGAACTGAAGACCTCCTCTAGTTTCCTCCACGGGCTCGACTAATTCCAGGACGCTCGGATGACGCAGCCTAGCAAGCGACGAAGCTTCTTTCTTCAGGCGCTCCACCACCTCGTCTACGGAGCGCTTAAAGGCGGCTGCACCCGACCGGCCGAGCGAGCCTCCGTGCGACTCTAGCGACTTCTTCTCGAAGACAAAGACGGAATATGTCTTGCCTGTCGACTTCTTCTTCGCATCGTATATCTTCCACGGGCCGGCTGTGGAGGTTATGGTTTGCGAAATGGAATAGTTGGAGTTGATGTGAGAAGTGAAGCTCTTCAGCGAGGAGAACATGGTTGGCGACGGCGTGTTATGCGACGACTAGCAACCATCATATTGTAGCGCCGCGCGTAGAGATAAACATATGTCTGCGATCCCACGCTCCCCCAATACCTAATCCCTCCAGGATGACGATCGTGTTCCTCCTCCGGCTAATCGGCAATGGGTTCGACGGGTCGTATGAGATAGGATGGACGAAATGTTCCCCCTTTCCTATATTAGTTTGGATGATAGAACCTCGTGGCTAGTTGTACTTAAAAATGACGTACGTGGGCGGTTGCAAGTACGAGGCTGTTTCTTGAGTTGATAGAGTTACATACCTATTCAATAGAGTTTATCTGCATGTGTAAATCTACCTACAAATTCAAATGCCAAGCCTACCTAAAGCTCTTGTCTACCTATCTACCTAGCACTCAGGGGTCCCTTGCTGCCTCAGTGGCGGTGCAATTGTTCCATTCTAGACCCTTTTACGCCACAAATACTAAGGAAACCACAGCTGTAAGTCGGATAAAAGCGTGCTTGCTATTGGTCCCGTGTTGTCCGTTAATGCATATTTAGGGCGTACTTGTAACTACGCTAGACTCCTCCGAGATCGCTTGCATCTCTTACCGTATAGTTTTTTTTTTTTTTTCCATTGAGTCGGGTCATGGTTGTTGTTAGTTTGCTAAGATTATAAAGGGAAATCGGGGCTATTTTAGCTACTATCGTTCGGGTCCGTCCATAGAGCATTAGGTCAAAGGAAGCAGGTTATACAATCGGGTCCAATTGATCCCATTTTCAAGATACATAATCTTTCTCTATTCCTGCTTCTTTTTCTGTTTCGTAGCAACACCAGGTCTGCTCTAGAAATTTGACCACAGACAAACCTGGATTATTGTATACTACTCTCTATTCGCCAATGCTTCGACAACTTCTTCCGCGGTGCGGGAGAGCTCTAAGAGCACCCGTCCCGCGTTCTTCCTATACGTTGCCCGCGTTGCAGCGCGCATCCAGGTGGTACAGCATCCAGCCCGAGGCAGCCTCAGTGGCAAAACCTCTAGATATAGATCCTACGAAGTTATCTATCACTAAGACACAGTCGCCTAAGACCCCTAAGGACCCCGCGGAACTCGTCTTTGGAAGAGAGTTTACAGGTACGCCTAACTCCTCGTTCTAAGGATCTCTCTATACTATAACTTATATAGATAATACGCTAACTTGTGTCATTTCTAACGCTCGCAGATCATATGTTGACGATAGAATGGACTAAGAATGACGGCTGGCTCACGCCCACCATTCAGCCCTACCAAAACCTCTCCCTCGACCCCGCCACTTGCGTCTTCCACTATGCTTTCGAGTGCTTCGAGGGTATGAAGGCATACCGCGATAATAAGGGTCAAATACGATTGTTCCGCCCCGACAAGAACATGGAGCGATTCAACAAGTCCGCCGCCCGCATCGCTCTTCCCACTTTCGGCCCTACGAGCCTGATCGATCTGATTGCTAAGTTCGTCAAGCTTGAGGAGCGCTTCATCCCCGACGGCCGCGGCTACTCCCTGTACCTGCGCCCGACGCTCATCGGCACGCAGAAGACCCTGGGCATCGGCGCGCCGGGTTCGGCTCTACTTTTTGTCATAGCGTCACCCGTGGGTCCCTACTACCCCACCGGGTTCAAGGCCGTGTCGCTCGAGGCCACCGACTACGCCGTACGAGCTTGGCCCGGCGGCGTAGGCGACAAGAAGCTCGGCGCCAACTACGCGCCTTGTATCGTGCCGCAAATGGAGGCTGCCTCCCGCGGATTCCAACAGAACCTATGGCTATTTGGACCCGAGGAATACGTGACCGAAGTCGGTACTATGAACTTGTTCGTGGCCATCCGCAATAAGGAGACAGGCCAGAAGGAGCTTATCACCGCGCCCCTAGACGGCACCATCCTAGGCGGCATAACGCGCGACTCTATCCTAAGCCTTGCGCACGAGAAGCTTGCACCTGAAGGGTGGTTGATCTCGGAACGTAAGATCACGATGCCGCAGCTGCACGAGGCGTCGTTAGACGGGCGCTTGATCGAAGTCTTCGGTGCAGGCACGGCGGCCGTCGTTAGCCCCGTACGAAAGATTAGCTGGAAGGGCAAGATGGTTGACTGCGGGCTAGCTGAGAACGAAGAGTCAGGCGAGGTCGCTAATAAGATGAAGAGCTGGATAGAAGCTAGACAATACGGAGACGAGGAGCATGAGTGGAGTCACATATGTTAGAGAAAAAGCGAGTTTAGCATTTTTTGTCTTGTCACGAACTGTTCTATATCCGCATAGATGGTGTAGATCCGGCGCAATGGCGTACTTACTTACCTGGCCTGTTAAAAATATCGTTAAAAATAAAACCGATTTGAACAGGGATGACTAGACGTTCTAGAAAAGGCCGGTACGATGCCAGGCTAGACGAGAATTGCGCAGCAGAAGAAATTGAATTGTAGCTTGTAGGTAGCTAGCCCCCCTCACCAGTTCGGGAGGCGATCCGTCTATGATGGGTTTCTCTAATCGAAGCTTCACCGTCGCCAGAAGGACGAGGCAGCACGAGAGTAAAAAGGAAAGCCGGGTTTCATGTACAAATAGAGCCTCGAACTAGTGTACCGCAGTTCCATTCCCGTTAATCGCACTCTATATGGTTATGGTTGGGATCCATCACTTCTTCTCGGGGTCCTCAAGGATGCCCTCGGCTTCTAATCTCCGTCGCGCCTCTTCTAGAGCCCATGTTTGTATTCTGAAAGCAGTTATGTTAGCCGGTGTTATTAGATTGTCGCTAGGAGCTGTGTTGGATAGGATAGAGCATGGTAGATGGCATATCCCGTGTGCAATCGGACAATATAGCAACTGCCCTAACCCCTTCTTCCTCCATCTTATATCTCATCCAAGACTAAAAGTATAAAACTCACGAGGTATCAGGCTTGAAGCTGTAAGCGACAGCAGCAAGAGCCAAGCTACCGCAGAATCCGTAGATGAAGGGGGTCTCCCATCCCTCCTTCTGGTACTTCTCGCCGGGCTTGACGCCGAACAGCCAACCGGTCGGGGGGTCGTATTGAGGGCCGTGGGAGGCCGGAGCGCGCGGGGTGGCCGAGAAGGGTCTGGTTGTGGTCTTTTGATTTTGCTGCAGGGCGCGCGTGGCCCGCACGGCGGCGTTTGGTCGGACGGCGGGCATGATCTTGCTCGTTTTCTCGTTTAATGTGACTCGGGAGGTCCCCTCTAGTTTGGATCTTGCTCCTTTTCTTCTGCCTTTTTTTTCTTTCTCCTTTTCCCTATCCGGTGTTCGTATTGCTTCCCCGAGGATAATCGTAGGTGTCTTAGGGGATGAGATAGGTGAGCGGGTGATGGCGTATATTAGGATGTCGTGGTAGAGTGGAGATTGGACTCGTTCTCTGTCGAGATTCGATCGGTGAAGTCAGTTAGCAAGTTGAGCGACTTAGCTGCCGAACAATAGCCAATAGATTAACCAATGATAGTGGGTCAATAAATCTTACACGTGATCTGTAGCCGGGCAGCCGGGAAAACCCTTCTAGTCTTTCGGCTCGATACTTCCGATCTATTTATTCCCACTTGCACCCGAAATTTTTTCTGATTCTTTGTCAAAGCAACAACGCTTCTTCCCGAAACCACGCCGCATGTGGCCGCGCCATTGTCTTTTGTGGTGGCCACGCGAGTCATGAATCAGTCCTTTAGACTAGCAGCAAGTGTAAGTTTTATTGCATTTCATTTTCTATTGCTTTCTTTATGATGATACAATCTTCTAAGAACAGCCAACTGAACATCCATGTGGATTAAAATTCATCAAGCTCAACAGTCTGATTCATTAAGCATATATGCATTACTTGTGTGCCATTTCTAGCTCTGTTCTAGTGTTGCTAACTTGTATTAGGTTACCGTCTTCACATTCGTCAGGCGTATGTGTGGATTGATAGCTTCTGATGCCATCTTTGATTCTTTATCGCCAGCGAGCAGACTTGGTAGGTGGTCTGGTGTATGAGAAATGGCACAGGACTGCCCAGATCCCTCAACATCGCTTGGTTCTATAGATCTAGTCAAGTATATAAATGAATAAATTAAACGTCGATTTCTTCTCATTATGCTATCTACACCCGAATGTGATGACATTAATTACACTCATGCGTAGGATCATCTTGATGGCATGTCATCACTGTCAAATGCATTTACTGGTTCAATATACTACAATGTCTCAAAACTACGATATCACGCAATCCTATCAAATATAATAACCCCCTCATTCCCATCCTCCAAAAACTCCATCTTCAGCTTATCCACCGTCCCCTTAACGCCGAGTTCGAACTGAGCCCGAGCCCGCTGCCCGTTGAGCAAGTTGGGCGTGTTAAGCATATCGATGACCACCGCCCAGAACTCGCCCGAGACATGGTGGAAGTCGAATGTCATCTGCCATTCCATATCATCCCGCAGAGCTCTAAGTTCCCCTTTCGTATTTACCGAGTCCTCATCAGTCAGTTGTAGCGTGATGTTCTGATACGCCGGGTGGGAGTAGACTCCGACGTACTTCTCAAGCGGCAGCGCCCGAGGTAGTGGTGGGTTTGCGCGTTCCGGATATAAGTCATGAACAGCTGTCTCGGCGAGCTTGAGTTGGGTGTCAAGTACTTTCTCTCCCCTGTTTATTCACATCAGTCCAAAAGCCCTCTTCTTCGGAAAACGAGGGACGAAACTCACCGGCTAACCCAGTCAAACCGCTCCTCCTCCGAGACTCCCAACTTATCATCAATCAGCTTCCACGCAAGCTCCATACCCACGAAATTACTCGTCTGCGCCGTGTTCCCCAGCGTGACAGCTCCGTACCCTAGATCCGGCAGGAAGTAGACCTCGGCGCCGTATGCCTCCATGCCCCCGCTATGCGTGAATATCCTCCAGCCCTTATACGTACTCAATTCCCAGCCGAGCGCGTACGCCAGCGGAGCATCGAAACTCATCCGCATCTCGGGCGGCATCGCAATACGGGCTAGTTTAAGCTCGCGGTGTGCCTCCTTAGGCAAGACCGGACAGCCGTTTTCGTTGTCGTCGTCGTCGCTCCCGTCGCCGCGGATCAGACACCGGATCCATTGCGAATAGTCCAGCACATTGCTCACGATGCCACCAGCGCCGCTCGCGAGGTTAAGGCTTCCGTACGGAACCGAGACGAAGCCCTGCCCTTCCCTTTTCCCTTCCCCTTGATAATCCCAATAATACCCCCGCGCCACCTCCCTCCCCGCCTCCAGCGCATCCTCCACACTCAAATACGTAGCCTCCATGCCCAGGGGATCCCAAATCCGCTCGCGCATCACCGCACCCAGCCACTCTCCCGTAAGACTCTGAATCACATGCGCGGCCACCATATACATGAGATTGCAGTAGCGCCAGACGACCCGCGGCTCCGAAACCATAGGCAAGTACCTCAGGCTGCGAACGACGTCGCGCACGGTGCCCCGGTCGCGGTCTGGTCCGTATCGCCTGGCGAGCGCCTTGTCGTGCCGCGGGAACCCCGTGCGGTGCGAGAGCGCGTCCTCGAGCGTTAGGTGCGCGGCCGCCCACTCGTATTCTGGGCCCAGGACGAAGTCGTCTCGGATGATGTGCGAGATGGGCGTCTGCCAGGTGAGAGGGGAGGAAGTTTCGGAGGAGGAGGACGAGAAGTTCCCGGATGCGATGAGGAGGGATAGGATGGCTGCTGTGAATGCTTTGGTCGTGCTGCCGGTGTAGTATAGCGTTGACGGGGTCGCGGGCGTTGAGGGGAAGCTGGCGATGCCGTAACCCTGTGTATATTGTTAGCTTGAAGTTTGTAGTAGTATCGTGTTGTAATATTGTAAATATAAGGGGTAGCCTCCGCGAAGACCTCAGTTTTCGGAGACAGTGTAAGTCATCTATCCCTTTGACATGATGTCTGATATATAGGTACCTCCTAATAACAAACACCAATAAAAACCACCTGATTTGGCCTGTGACTATCACGAAATTATTCCCCTCGCCTCTAGGTTCTCAAGCCCTCTCTCAGCAGTTCCACCTCCTTACCTCACTGCCGCTCTTACACAATACCTTAAAACTCCTCACATCCCCCATCACAACCAACCACAAACAAGCCATCCTTTAAACCCAGCAAGACCAAAACAAAAAGAAACACACATCACAAACCTCAGCCCACGTATCCCCCCCATCGACAACAGCAACCGACACCCCCGGGACTTTCCATCGGTCGAGCGCCGCCTTTGCGAAACCCTCGAAATCGGAATCAAACGGGCTTTCCCTCATTTCCCCTTCCTCTTCCTCTTCCCCGGCAGACAGGACCTTCTGCTCGGTCCGCGGCTGCCCCAGCAGCGCAAGCGCGACTGTTGCCGCCGCTATGCAGAGTCCGAATCTCATCTCAGGTCGAGGCTGCTATGGTGCGTTGGCGGGGGTGAGATGATTGTTGGTGCCCGTTATATACCCAGGGAGGCAAGTAAGTAAAAACGCTTGGGATGTATAATTACGTCAAGTCCTTCTAAGTTTACCACTTAGTAAATGAATATTCCAACATCCGGCTGCTCCAGAAAATATAATTAAATAAGAATCAATTATATGTATGAGCTATCTGGGTACCTAAGGTATAAACAGATTCGTCTTATATTTAACTTGGGGGTTTGTTAAGAACCCCCGCCTTGCGATTGACACTTCTCATGCATTCGTACGGCGTTGAGTTTACTCGCATTCAACCCCGAATAGGTAGTATGCCTAATGAATGCCGAAAGGTACTTACTGATACGCACAATGAACGCCTTCTTTCTTACATGTAATAACCGACTCATCACATCTATCCAAAGATGCTTGTACACAAGCGTACCGGCAAGAAATACATACCACGTAGAAGACAACAGTTCATTATAAGCTTAGGGCATTATCATGACCAGGCCAGCAGTACACATACACACAGGGGTAACTCGGGTAACTCATTAGTCGAATGAAGAAAAGTCCCATACAACCTTGCAGTTGCTCTCTGAACTCGTTTCTTGTTCGGGTATTTTCTCTATAAAAGAACCGCACCTAGAAATAAAGCCACCACTACCGCCGACACGCCATCCCATCCGCCCTGTCATAATCATCTCACATCAAACGCAGCCGTTGCACATGTAGCTAACGAACCTGACCTCGTTATGTCCAAGTAAAACTCTCCCGCAAGGAGGATTTGCCATATGCAACTGGAATATCTCGACCTTTGTACATTGGCTAAATGTCTAAACAGCTAGCTCCAGCATGTAGTATTGGGTCTCTTCTTAACAAGACAACAAACAGGGTCGACGTGTTCATAGAATAATGACCTCTCTACACGAGTCACCGCTATCTACGTTTCACCCGTTTCTTTCCCCTGTAATAATGTCATACTCTCGGTTGCTTGATAGTATAAGATTACTTTTTGCTAAGAGCCCTCGTTACTCGACTTGTCTCTCGGCTCCGGTAAATATTTAAGGCAGCAAATTAAGTTAACTGGTCTTGCGGCTGGCGAGGTTTAAGTGGCACCTCAAAACAGTCAATAGCGTCGTGAAATTGTTGGCCTTTTCAAAGCTCTTCATCTTCGCCGAACTGGAGTTGAACTTTAACCTGCTCTTCTTTTATCTTCTTCTCCTGATCCGCAGTAGCCCTGCCTAGCACGTCACCCAAAGCCGACGGGAAATTGATGGAACGATCTGTTGTCTCGTCATCTGCACGTTGCTTCTTTAGAGGACTTCCTATAGTTGATTCGCCATTGAAAGCATTCGCAAGCAGATTTGCAACGGAATTGGGCATAGGTTGATTGCTTGACGTAGAATCTGTAGGCGTCGATTCTCCGCCAGTGAGACCTGCGCTGGGCGACTTTTGAGAACCCGACGCACCTGCGGCGTCTGGCTCTGTGGAGTGCTGTCGCTTGAGCTATTGTATGCCTGTCAGTGACACTATACATAATGTTAAAAGGTGTCAACTCACGCGAATGCGGTCAATACCGGCTTGTAGCTCCCCAGTAACCCTGGCATCTTCCGGTGCTAGGTGAGTCTTGACGTCCTTATCGTCAGAATCTACCATCTTAGCCAGGGGGTCGTTATCGTTATCATCATCGTCATCACTGTCTTCGTCCATAAGGTTGCCGTTGGTACCATTACTCTTCCTGCGAGCCTTTCTCCTCTTTGCAGCTTCAGCTTCCTGGTCTCTGAAAGCCGAAAAGCCTACTGTCCCAGTAGTTTTGAGAGGACCAAGCCCTGAAAAGTCGAGTTGGGTAGACCGCCGCTTTGTACCCGGCGCCTTCTGGTCGCTTTTTGAACTAGGGAATAATCCCATCTTGCTGAGTTGACCTGATGATGTGTTAGTGGTGAATAAATGTTAAACCCGAACAAAAGTTGCTTACGTTGGCCACGGTAGAAGAATGTAAATACTGCATAGGGCTTATCCGGTCCATCTATGCCAGTCACGGTCTGAGTACTAATGGTCTTAGGATCGAGCGTCTTTGGCTTAGCAAAACTAGTGGTATGCTCAACATCGGCATCGATCGCTCCATTATTACCCCCCTTGGTCCCACTATCGCTCTCGTCATCATCATCGTGGGCATCAAACTGTGGTGAATATTCCCCTTTCTTGATCTCTCCAGAAGCAATCACACGAAACATAGCCACTTTGATCTGGCCAGTAGCCTCGGGGGGTTCGTCGTCGTCAGACATAGAGGAGTCGTCCGAATCATCAGGGGTTTCTAGCGGTGACTGGTCCTCCCCACCATACGCCAAGGTATCGCGGGGACGAGGGGCCTTCCCCGTTTCTGCGTCACCGCCGTGAGGGGTGGACCTTTGGCGGCGATGACGTCGCTCGAACTTCTGTCTTCGTTTCTCGACCTTCTCTGCGGCGTCGTGGCCCTTGAGATCTAGACCATTGAGCCATCGTTCTAAGCCGACCTCTCGGAATAAAAATTCACGTTCGGCGAGGCCACCACCTTCGCTCTCGGGAACTTGAACCCAACGACTATTTACCCAAGTTTCTTCTCCCGGTCGCAATAGAGTGGCGACTTCTTCCTTAGCTCGTCCGTCGAAGTAGATGTACGCAGCAATAGTCTCGTTCTCCGAGTTCGTCATGGGAATATATGGTGTGACCGTGTTGGCATGCTTGGAAGGATCAGAGCTCGTGGACATCAGAGGCCCCGCGTAGAGAGGTTTCGGGTAGGGATTGGTTGCAGTCGGTTTCGGAGCGGTATAGGGGATGGGATGACCGGGTGTTAAGAGCGTTATCGAAATGGCGAACTTGGCTGCCTCATGTTTAGAGGTATCCGGGTTTAGCTGAGGTTGAGGAACAGGTATGTATGTGCTGATGCGAGATAGACGAGACTGCTTTTGCATGCCATATTCTGGGAGCGGGGCAGAATTCGCATGGATGCTCACGGCGATGCCCTTGAAGCAGGGCATCGTTACTAGATATAGACCGTAGTATCGGGCAAAGTAACAGAGGGGCTTAAGAAGAGACGCGAGGGTTATCGCTGTTGTGTCCGAAGGGAGGGTAGTCGAGGGGTGGTGAAGAATATAGAGGTCTGGTCGGAAGAAAAAAGTCTGCGAGCTGTTTGTAGACAAAGACTCGATAAGATACTGTGCAATCTCGGGGATCGTTCGATCGCCAGTTTGTAATTGTCGGTCTAGGTTTGGTAGAGAGCTGTGGTAAGGAAGTAGGAAGTAGGAAGTGGGAGGTGGGAGGTGGGAAGTGGGAAGTAGGAAAATGGTAGGGGTAAAGAAATGGAGGTTAAGAAGTAAGAGGTTGCTCGTTGAGAGAAAGTGCTTGGGTAGGAAGAGGAACAGGAACAATTTGCAGGTCCTCCGGCGGTGTGCAAGTTGCTCACGAAGCTATAAGAGCCAACGTAACGTAGGTATTAAACTGCAAAACCGAAAACCCAAATATTTCTTTATTTCTTACGAGCGGTTGCTTTTTTAATAATATGCAAATGCTTCGTTTTTGTTTTTGGTCGCTTTTATCGAGGTCGAATTAAGTTATTTTTGGTTAAAGGTCAATGGGGACGAGCAAGCGGAAAAGAATTCACTATGCAAACCGGGGATGCAAGACTATTAAATGTGTATCATACAGTACCGAGTTTTTGAGTCAAAAAAAAAAAAGGTCTTGGTAGCAAGAATGATGGATGAAACTGTGTGCATGTGTATATGTCTTGCAACTTTTAAAGCTGCAATGTATTTATACGTAGAAATCGTAGGAAGTGTAGAAAGCGTAGAAAGCTATCGTGGGTTAAAAAAATAAAAGGGTAGGGTAAGTTTTGGATTAAGGTCAAAGCAAATGAATGGCCCAGGCCTTAGGTCTCTAGTTCGCCCTGTTGCTGCTATTGCATCTGGTGGGCAGTAGCAGTAGTAGTAGCAGCAGCAGTAAATAGCAGTAGCAGTAGCAGTAAATAGCAGTAGGTAGTGGCAGAAAAAGCGAAGATTTGTTACATGTTGCAATGAGAAAAAGGTTTAGGTCGAGTCCTGGTTCGGTTGTTTAACCCATGGCCCAATGGCGGGGGAGACTAGAAATCAATTGATTGGTTAACCGCGATTCTGGGACCACCCTCGTCACCTGAACACGTCAAAGCTGCTACGAAGCTGCGCTACGCTGTCTTAAGCTGACTTACATGCAACTGATGCATCCATTTACCTCCGTCTTCGACTTATATGCAATGTATCGGTCCGCTATAAACCTTACTATGTACCTAACTAATGTACCTACTGTCACTATGTAATGTATATGTACCCAACCGTAGTCTACAATTACATACATAGGTATTCAGCCACCTCCGTATTTAATATATTACCTTTATGTACGAGGTAGTTTATATATATCTAACTACCCAGATAGATAGATGGATATCTTGCATCGCTAAATAGATTACTGAGATGCGGGTGTTACGGTTAGGTTAGTATTGGAGAATGTGGAGAAGAACAATTAGAATGGAATCGAGTAACTACATGTAATTGATGTACTTTAGTAGCACAGTATGTACATTCATTCATAGATTATTATCGTTGAAACTACCCAAATTCGACTATCATGTGGCACCCTTGGACTAGTGAAGCAGCGACTCGGCTTTTCTATAATTTAAACTGGATAACTGGATAACTCACCATGATACGTGGCGAACATACTTGTAGTAAGTAGGCTCGAGAGGGGCATCTCGGTCTGCACTAACAAATTCTTCCCTTATCAAGATCTACCTCCTCGCGATGGTCGTCTGCGTATACTACCCCCTTTCTCATAACTAGAACTAGTCCCGGAACCCTTCTCCCTCCAAACATCCTCCCCATCTTCCTCATCGTCCGCTGGTTGATCTACTAATGTTTCTCGTTCCGACGACTCCTCCTTGATATTCACATCATCATCGTCGTCGTCTTCTTCTTTCTTAACCATTTCCTCTCCCTCACTATGAGAGTCTCCTGCTCCGTCGTGTAAAAATGCCGTAGGAGCGCGAGGGGGCCCCTTCCAAGGATTACCTCCAGGCTTGGCGTTTAGTTTATCTTCCGGGCCTTTAGGCTTCTGGTTAGAAACGAAGGAGCTCAGGATAAGCCACGCTAGTCCCGTCGATAGCATCTCGGCTATCCAGAAAACGGTTGTGCAGACCACAAACGAGATGATGCGGTGATTATACATGGCCCAGCGGATCCCCGTCAAACGGGCGACAAACGTGATAGTAGCTGAGTACACCTGGAGTGTCTGGCCGGCTTGGATTTCCACTAGCATGCTCATCGGGAGGATTTCGTTGAACTCGACGAGCTCGCCCATCGGAACCCTAAGTGTTGTCGTCTCCGATGTGCTAGGATACATGATATGGTATGGTAGGAAGATGACACGCGACACTGTTTTCACGAGGGGGTCTGTATACGGGATCAGGGCAGGCCGGCGGCTCGTGAAGATTACACTGTCTTCCTTCACATGCGAGAAGGGGTCCTCCCCTGAGAAATAGTAAGCGAACCCTGGGTTGCCTGGCTGAGTCTTCATCCCGAACAGAGTGACCATGAAATTTCCCCTGTCAAGATTCGTAGGCGATCGTGGTAATGCCAATTCTACTGATATATCATAGGCCTGCTCGAGCATGAGGTTCGACGGGACTGATGTGACGCCATAAGGGTTCAGGCCGGAGCTATTGGAATAATACCGCACATTAATTTCTGTAGTCGCAATAGAGAGGAAATGCCCTTACTCGTATTGTAGGTGTATAGGGAGAGATATAACCTTCTTAGGCACATAGTTATAGTAGAAGACGGGATAGGCCAGAGCAGCAATAAATAAAAGCACCAAGGACGCGGAGAAGAACAGTGCAGCGCTGAGATATGTCCTCTTGGCAACTGGAGAAGTTGCAGCTCTATAAGAGCCTTTTACGTATTCCTATGTATATAATCAGCGAAACAGATATTTATAGTAAAAAGTTACACTCTTCCGCTTGAATGCTTGAAGCTTCTCATATATGTAGTATAAGCATGTGACTGACCATTTTTCTAAATGAAGTAGAAACGCCATGCGGCGTTGGACCTCGTAATGCTCCTGAATTTGCGTCGTTAAAATAAGCAGCTCAAAAAATTAAGGGTAGAAGAGTTGTAGGTTAGAACCATAATAGACTCTAAAATTGAGAGGGTCGAGACATGTGATGGTGTTTGGGTTTATTTACCGTTATTAGCGGCTTGTGGCACGTTAGGTACGATGTATGTAGAGCTTGACGGAGTTCTTGGCAGCCGACGTGCCTTCTAGTAGAGTTCCAGCTGCCCCTCCGCGACGGGTACCGACGTCATGCTGATGACTAACCTCATCGTAGATCGTAGAGAGGAGGTACCTCTATGGAAGCTTCAATCATTGGAAGTTTTATATCACCGCACAGAGGCAATTTCTTATGTATTTGGAAATAATGATAATAGTAATTATTAATCAAAAAAAAATCAAAAAAATCAAAATGCAATCTCGTATTAACTCCCCGTTCTTTAACGGCCCTAGATAGCCTAACTGGCAATGAATAATAACTTGCATCAAACGCTCCCCCGAACGCGCCAAAGCCTGCTCTCCCAAGAACAGACGACCGATAATTCAACCCAACCAAATAGTCGCCTGCCTGCTTGCTGATCCATATGTGCTCATCACACCCCATAACATACGTATTCACATCAAACAACGGGTAAATACCAACTTTCATGAGCCTCGTCAGTCTTTATCTCGTCAATCAAGAGCAGAGCCAAGGGGCCCCTTAAATACTGGCCTTAACAAGGCTGCAGATAATTACTAGGTACCAACCCGCCTCTACCAACACCTTGTCCTGAATGAATTTCAGCTTCCCACCATCCGTCATCCTGGTGTCGGAGAACAGCTAGGGTATCTCCCTTGGCGAATCCAAGCTCCTCGGGGATTGCTGCTTGGTACATATACAACGCTCGAGCTATAAAACTGTTAGTATCTGCATAGTAGTTATTGCCGAGAAAAAAAAGGGAAACATACCGTAGTGTAAAATGGCACGGCCCTCTGGCGTGTACTGCCGGCTCGGATCTGCCACGCTTTGGCTTCGCTGTCTCGAATTCTCTACTACGGGATCTCGTCCGTCGTAGAAAGTCATGGCCCGTGAGCTCGAACTTGTACCAGGCCTACCATTGCCTCTTCCGCGCGTTGATCCGTACACGGACCCATCTCCAACTGGAGCAAGTTGCATAGCCATCTCTTCAGCTCTACTGGTTGGGCGGTTGTAATCGCCATTGTAGATGGATGGAGACTTCGCCCTCATGGAATTGCTCGGCGACTGATGCCCGAAGTATCCTTGTTCCGACCCGCGCTTCACTGACATACTAGGTTGTGGTGAGTTTCGTTGTTGAGAACCACCATACGAGATTGGCGATGCTGGTTGAGGCGAGTTTCCTCGTCGCTGGGTCGAACTATACGAAATCGGCGATGCCGGTTGTGGTGAATTTCCTCGCCGTTGAGTTGCACTATATGAAATGGGTGACGCCGGTTGCGGCGAGTTGCCTCGCCTTTGGGTTGAACTGTATGAAATTGATGATGCTGGTTGTGGCGAATTTCCCTGCCTTTGGGTTGAACTATAAGATACTGATGGCGCTGGTTGTGGTGAATTTCCCCGTCGCTGAGTTGCGCTATATGAGATCGGGGATGCCGCCTGTGGTGAATTCTGCTGCTGGGTACCACCATACGTACTAGGTGAAGCTGCCTGTGGCGAGTTACGGTATTGGCTACTACTGTACGGGTTTGGCGATACCGACCGTTGGCTTTGGCGTGTCTCTGCCTGACGCGTCTCAGGGTGCATCCCAGGCCGAGGAGAAGCGCCCCGTGGAGGCGCCGGTGATGCTGCACGAGGCATTTCGCTGCCTCTCGTCGTAGGTCGAGAAGGAGTACCACTGTAAGATTGCGTCCCGCTGTATGCTCCAGACCCAGGACGCTTCGCGCTGAACATATCCCTGGTCTGCTCCACATATTTTCGTGACGCCTCCTGCATTGCCTTAGATGTAACAGCTGGGGGCGGAACTCCAAGTCTTTGTATCTGCATATCGTATGACGGCGGTGGGGTACCTCTCATACCAGCGGCCATATCGCTGCTTTCCCTGGATACGGGTACGGAACGGGACGGCGCTTGAGATCTGTCGGGTACAGGCGTAGCGATACCGTGATAGTGATCGGCTGAGATTCGCCCAGCAGCTTGCTTGTTACTAGCAACACCCTTCAGCTCCGCTAGGGCTTGGGCGATAGGGTCTTGCTCCTCTTGTGGAGGTGTATTATCATCGTTGGCCTGTTTTCTCTTATCGGTATTGGCCACAGGGAATACGTTCTGTCCAATATTCAGGGCTAGGCTTGCATTCGCTTCAATAGGTTCGGGACTCGCTGTCTTCTCGACTCTATCTGCAATGGGGTTCTGAGGTTCTGGCGGTTTAAAAGCTTGGTTGCGTCGAGAGCTGACCGTGCCGTGAGTACTCATCGCGCTCTGAGAAGCCACAGGTCCCCAAGTATTTCTGTTCGACGCCTTCACGTCCTTGATGCTCTTTCTACGGAACGGGCTGTGATTCTGAAAGAATCCACTCTTCTTCTTTTGCATTTGCTTTTCTGGCCGTGCCACCACCACGGGCTCTTGCTTCACTGGTGACACTTTACCGCTTTGTGGCTCTTGACTAGAGAAAGATGTTGGGCTCGAATATTCGCTATTATCATCACCGGTTGATGGCCGTGCTGACAAATTCGAGCTTGTCGCCGAATTCATGCCGTCCGTACGACATAGCATTGTCATACCATCCATAGGATACGGATCGTGGGGCACTGGTGCAAATTTTGAAGCATCATATGATTGTACCCCATTACTTCCTTTCCGACGATCTTGTGGAGCCATGACAGCCACTGAGGTATTCTGTGGTGATATAACTGACTCCCTACTGGAAGGTGGTGGCGGCTCATTGCGCGGTGGATCTCGTGGAGTAGGAGGATTAGTATCGTGACGTTGAATGTCCCTAGTAAAGGAGGTATTTGGTTCATGACGTTGTATATCCCGAGGAAATGAGGGACTAGGATCGTTACGCTGTACATCTCGAGGAGCGGGAGGATTAGGGTCCCGGCGTTGAATCTCTCTTGTGAGAGAAAGATCAGGTTCGAAGCGCTGTACTTCTCGGGGCGCTTCTCGAGGTACCTCTTGGGGAATTTCACGAGGGATTTCCCGTGGCATTTCCCGAGGTATTTCGCGTGGTATTTCTCGAGGCATCTCTCGGGGCATTTCTCGGGGAATGGGAGGATTGGGGTCACGACGTTGGATTTCTCTCGTCATGGAGAGATCAGGTTCACGACGCTGCACTTCCCGAGTATATGAAGGGACAGGGTCGTGGCGTTGAATCTCTCTGGTAAGGGAAAGGTCGGGCTCACGACGCTGCGTATCTCGAGGAAATGAAGGAGGAGGTTCATTCCGCTGTATATCCCGCGTGGTAGGGGGATTGGGATCTCGGCGTTGGAGATCTCGAGCGAGTGCCGAGTTGGGATCATGATGAGATTCGTACGTGGATGGCTGAGGTGAGGGAGCACGGAAGCCGGGGTTGATGCTTTGAGGATATTGCTGCGGTTGTATGACACTTCCTCGCCGCCTATCCTGCTGGGCTATGGCATAAGTCTGGGGTTTTGATGGAGGCATGATTAAATCTCTGCTAGAGGGCAGAGGAGGCTCATGATGTGCCAGATCTCGAGCAAGAGCGGAATTGGGATCATGATGCGACTCGAAGGTAGATGGCTGGGGGGAAGACGTGCGAAACGCAGGATTAATACTCCGCGGAAATTGTGCTACTGAATAGTTCTCGTCTTCGGAGATTTCTGAATGAGTGTCTTCCACGTCCCCACGGCAGAAGTTGATATACTTGGGCGGATCTGGGATTTCTTGGCCGGTACCCCTCTCGGTGATGAAGTGCATGATGTCCTTTTCTACATCCATCTTTTCTAGAGATAAACGAATCTTCTCGCACGAAGAATCATCGCTGACGCAGACTGTGGAGGCAATGTTGGCGAAAGTCCATAGACTGCTCTTGGTGAAGTCTAATCTCTCCTCCTCGAGGTCCTGGAATTTGTCGGCTGCCGCTTTCCACTCCCTATTCCACCTAGCAGTCGTCTCCTCGAGAACTTTGACTGCGTTCTCATATTCGGTGTTAGTTGTAGCAAGGCTGATCTGTGTCTTCTCTAGCCTGGCCTTATTTTTCCTTTCTTCCTGGCCCATAACCATATGTCCCTGGGCAAGGTAGCCTTTAATTTTTAAACAATCCTGCTCATAGCGATCTCGGGTCTGGGTGGGGTTTGTTAGTTATCCGGGGTTATTATTGGGATGCATGGGTGGCACTGACCTTATTCACCATGTTCGTTTGCTGTATCTTGATCTTGAGAAGTTTCTCTACCGTATTTTGGACGATCTTGCGTCTCTCTTTCATTCCTCCAGCAAAGGCGGCCAGCGGTTCCTCTAACTCGGTCTTCATCTGAGCAGCGATGCTAGCATGTTGCTTCGCCATGGATTCGACTTCTCCTCGCATAGTATCAAGTGAAAATTTCAGGCTTCCCATTTCGTGGGTACCCAAAGGTTTTCGGCTTAACGACATAAGCTTGCGTGCGTATTCATCTTCGATAGAGGCCCGGGCTGGCAACACAGACCAATTAGCCTGATGGAGGGGTAAAAATAGTTAGGAAAGACTTACCACTATAGAAAGATCTAAGCTCATCGCTGGTCTGCTTCGCAGAGGCCATGCGATCAAGCAACGGCCCTACACCAGCGTCATCCTTGCCCCAGAAGTTATTGGCAACTATTTATACAATATTAGTATCTTGAAGTTCTAACCTGGCTTCAGGAGTAGATTTCATACACGACAGGGAAACTGTCGGGCCATCTGTGGCCGTAGGCATCCTCCCCGATTCCCTCACAAAAGGCAATAATGTTCTCTATATTTTCGGTCGAAATGTCGGTGAACCTGACGTGCGTTTGCTTGGAACGATGAGATGGTTAATAGGTTCAAAATGTCTCGAAATTAGATTATCAGTGATCGGCGAGAACGCGGTTCTGCCACGAAAAAAAAGGTCAATGATTAGTATTAAGTTCTTAGGAATGTGTAAACGTTGAAATTGTAAAATGTATAGCACATGGTTTCAAGATAGAGGTTGCAGACATGCAGGAATTGTTTACAAGTGGTAACGTCGTTGCCCTAGAGATGGGGTAATGTACTTAGCTTAGGTACCTAAGGTAGGTACCTAAGGTAGCGGCCTGAAACTGGGAAATCGTAGGTTAGCTGAACATAATTGTGGGGTACATAGGTAGGTACCTAGACACATCACAGCGCTAAACTTGATAGATTATCTGATTACAAGGGCTGAAGGGCCAACTGCAGGGGTATATTTCTAGACCCTTTCAACATTTCTTGCAATTATTGACAGATTGAATAACATTGAGACATTACCCTCAAAGAAATGCACACTTTGCTAAATTGTTTCTAAAAATAGTTCATTCCACATGAAAGGTCATTGAATATTGTCGAAAAAACTTCACCATCTGGGAAATTGTTATTGAAGTCGATACAGGTACCTAACGCGCACTTTGTACTCTTATCGCCATGACGAGACGTGTTTGTGCCGTCGAAGAAACCTCTTCAACACGCTCCACCTAACTCTTTTTGATGAGTTAATTGATTTATACCTGCAACCTTTATTCTCAATCCTTGAAATCATCTGTACAGTAGTTGATCCAAGTTGATCCTCTGCTCCCGATGCGGGGAATGCTCTAGCGGGCTCAGCGATGCCGACCCCCATTGCATCACGTAGCGTCGGCACTTGATACCGGAGGGTATTTACTCGATTCATGCTGCTGTTGTACTCGTGCGGAACCTATTAGCCCGGCAAGGTAAGTAGAGATTTAGCACGCTTGAATCTAATAAGTAGGTAGGTATCTACCCGGAACCTCTCAAGCATTACCACCTTGAATATTGTCAATGTCGGAAAGTTGATATAAATAACTTCTGTTCGCTATACATATTTCTATATTCCGGTGTTATAGCATAATATCGAACATGGAGAGTTTTGAATATAATTCTAGTCCCGCTCGTATCGTCTTCGGGAGTGGCACTATCAAAAAGGTTCCAGAAGAGCTTCGACGAGCAAATGTATCTAAGCCTTTTCTTCTCAGCACGCCTCAGCAGGTGAGCCATATCGACTTACTCAGGGGTGTTCTCGGAGATGTCATCTCTGGAGTATTTACTGAAGCAACAATGCATACTCCAGTCGAAGTGACTGAGAGGGCGCTTGAGCAAGTTAAGTCCTCAGGGGCCGACTCCATTATTTCTATCGGAGGTGGTAGCACAGTGGGCTTGGGAAAAGCACTCAGCATTCGGACAGGTCTCTTTCACTTGACTATTCCTACAACCTATGCTGGTAGTGAGGTTACGCCAATTTTGGGTGAGACGGATGCTGGAAGGAAGACAACAAGATCCGATCCGAAGATATTGCCCCGCACAGTCGTTTATGATGTTGATCTCACCATGACCCTTCCAGTTGGTCTTACCGCTACAAGTGGCGTTAATGCCATCGCGCATGCCGTCGAAGCGCTGTATGCTCGCAATACCAACCCGGTTATTAATCTCCTTGCTCAAGAAGGGGTAAAGGCTCTTGCAAGCTCTCTCCCTGTCCTGGTCTCCGATCCGTCGTCGCAAGAAGCACGCTCATCTGCTTTATATGGCGCATGGCTTTGCGGTACTTGTCTCGGCAGTGTCGGGATGTCTATCCATCACAAGCTCTGCCATACCCTAGGAGGCAGTTTTAACCTCCCGCACTCTCAGACCCATACCATAGTCCTACCACATGCATTGTCATATAATGCCCCGAAGGTTCCTGGGGCAATGGAAGCGTTGGCCGCCGCACTACCGGAGAGTGAAGGCGACGCCACGAGGGGACTTAATATTCTCTTACAGAAGTTGAAAGTAGAGAGGGGACTGAAGGCTTTAGGGATGCAAGAGAGCGACATAGATAAGGCAGCAGACATAGCAGTGAGCAACCCCTATTGGAACCCTCGCCCTATCGAAAGGGAACCGATAAGAGAGCTGATCCGACGAGCTTGGGCTGGAGAAGAGGCAAGAGTCGATTTGTAATACGGATAATTGGATGGTGTTGTGCCCCTATCTCGTATGAATATGCCGAATATAGTAGTCCCTCAGATCTCGCAAGATGTGATCCGAAAATATTAGATATATTCGAATTCATTAACTATCTCGAAATTCTAATGATATCAATTATGAATGCAAATAAAAGATTCCTTACGCAGGACCTATTCTTCCCCATCCCGCTTCCTTACAAACTCCGTCATAAAATCCAGTCCCGCGTCCTCCCATACAACGACGAAGAGTCAAGCCTCCTACCCCTATTTCGTTCCAAGTACTCCTTCGCCCTACGCAGGTGCTCGAGCGCCGTATTAGCAACTTCGAGCCGGACGCTTGCACGCGCGGCGCAGTCAACATCGTGCCCTACATCCTTAAACGCGAGATCTAGGCCCGACCATGGCGTCTGGTCTTTCCCTGGAACGTACACACCCGTCGTCATACGCACTGAATCCGAGTGCGCGACGGTGCCGAAGTTGAGTTCCATGAGGCTAGCCATGAGAAAGTTTCTGTTTAGGAGGGAAGTTAGCAAAACCGGTTGTTCTGGTCTGGCTATCCACCTATAACGAGATTAGGGGTTGAGTTGGAGAAACGTACCCTGTTGTCTTTAGCAGAGTAGCTTTTTCAGGCTCCTCGCCTACAAGCAAGACTTCACGTGCGATGACTCCCTTAAGAAAGGGGCTGACCTTCTCGTAGACAGCTTTCGAACCTCCAAATGCGCTGAGTAGTTGTCCAGCTGCAGCCACCGGCGTCGCGCCGAACCCAGGTGCGGCAACGAACTCAGCACCCCTATCTTTTAACTTCGCGGCCAGCGCCTTGGTGATATCAGGGTAGATAGTAGTCAGTGGTATCAACCACGATTTTCTCCGTCACATCTCCTGAATCTAGGATCTGTGCTATAATTGACTTTACGGATTTGTGGTCAGTCGCCTACTCCCGCCTCCCGGTTAATAAACTATACTGAATAGCACTTGGGTAAGATGCAGGTAGGACTCGCTGATATGAATATCACATCGCTTTCGCTGGCAACTTGCACTACATCCTGGCACCGAATTCCCCCAAGTGCCGCAAGCGTATCACCACGGGAAGCTGTCCGGTTGAAAAATCGTAGCGGCTGGCGCCCCTGAGATGAAAGGTAGGTGGGTATTTATGGATATTCTTTGCTATAGCACTACCCATGCTACCGAGGCCGATCCATCCCAAAGTTATTGAAGTCATTTTCCTTCTCTGATTTCTAAAACATATTGGATTTAAGTAGTACGACTCGAATTACATAAAAATAGGCATTTCATTGTAATGATCTAATATAGATTACCTGGGTAGGTATATAATAGAAGTGGTTAGTGATATATCAGAGGTGATTATGAGCATAGCCGAAGCGGAGACTACCTAGTTGACTCACAATGCCTGCTAGCATTGCCAAGTAGGATCGAAGGATTAAACTAGCCTGCAGCGACATTTCGAACTCATCGTATAGAAATCTACTCTTCACTTATATTTAATTAGGCTGCTGGTCTATAGAGCTTGAAAATGTTATACTACGTACCTAGGTAAAGATACTCTAGTCCCACGGAGACGAAGTCAAACAAACATAGTGACGCTAATCAATACACATAGCGACCAAAATATATCTCTTTTGGCTACTAGTCTTGAGCAACGCTGGCTTCCGCCCCCAGGATTATATTCATTAATACACGAAGCTCGTAGCTTCTACTATATCGTCGCCTATAATATTCATATACTTACCTACCTACATATATACCTATGCTAGACCACCCCATATTGCGCCCATCCAGCCAGGTCATAAGACTAATGCCGGATCACAACCGCCTAGCTTTGCGCTCTTCGGCTTACCGTCGAAGATAATTTCACTGACAAGCTTCCCTGTCCCAGGCGCGTTCTGTATACCCCAGCACGTATGCCCTGCGGCAACGATGAGTCCCTTAGTGGGAGTTACTTCGCCTATATAAGGCCCGCCTTGAGGTAGATAGCACGCCTGCTTCGCAAGGACCTCGCCGTCCTTGCCTAGCTCATCGCTTATGCCGCCGAGTTGATATATGATGTCCTCGCACCGGGCCACGTCGACTTCGACCTCGGCGGTCGTTAGTGGTAGTTCGACCATATCATCTGTAGGCCCACAGGCATATGCGGTGCCGTCTGGTCGCGCGTAGATTTCAGGTTCAACGATTTGTTGCCCTCTTAGCGGCCGATGTGCACCCGGCGCTCCTCTAGAGTCTCTGGGTGTTGGGGTAGGGAAACCGTTTGGGAGCATGATCGAAGTGAAGAGCGCGTACGCGGACACGGGCTTTGGCGTCTTAATGACGACGCTGTGAGCCCGAGCCGCGTTAATGGGGATTTCGGGTAGGAGACGCGAGGTCCACGGCCCGGCAGCTACCACGCAATCTGTTGTAGGCAATATTTCTTCCTTTCCATCTTTCTCGTATGCCACGCTCTCCACGCTTCCACCATCTGACGCCTTGTTGATAGCCGTGACCCTTGCCCCCGTCACAATCCTGACCCCCTTTTCTTCAGCCAATTGAGCCATGCTTCTGGTGAACAGTTCAGGATGTACCTGAGCTGTATTATCCGGGGTACCCATCCCCTCGTAAGCAGTTAGTGCCTCCTCAGTATCTAGCCAATCTAGATCTTCGGGGGCGCCAAGTTTCTCCAGCGCTTTGATTTCTTTCTTGTGGTTCTTATGTAGTCCCTTTGAAACCTGCTCCACGCCATTGCCGACAGGTTCCGTCTCGCTTATATCCTTCCCGTCCGCCACCCTACTGCTGAACCCCGGCGGGAGACGCGCCTGGCAATCGATCTGGCTTGCATAACATCGTCTATACCCCCACCTCTTATCGCCGCCGTATTCTTTCGCAAGCTCATCGTGTAGTTTAAAGCTTAAGGGTACGATGCTTTGAGGAAAAGCCCACAGCGCAAGCAAGCCACCTGCCTTACCGCTTGCGCCTCCGGCAATTCCGTCGTGAGCGGGGTTCCTCTTTGACGCGGTCTCGGGATCAGCTAGCGTAGCTGGGTCAGTGATGCTGTCAGGGGTTCGTCCTCCGGCATTACTGGTGGAAGCCTCGAGGAGTGTTATGCGATGCGTTTCTGGAGAATAGGAAGGATGTCGGGTGAGGAAATAGGCGGTGCAGCAGCCAATAATGCCGCCTCCTATTATCGTGATTTCTTTTGGTGAGGATGACATTTTGCGCCTGGAAAGATTGCTAAGGAGATGAATTGGCGCGGGACTAAGCATTCATTCGAGTTGCGTTTATGCCCTAGTCCTTGAACTTATAGTACTATAATTCGATAGACTAGAACTTCGAAGGTGACTTTTAACGGATTAGAATATACACTAGGTTAAAATGTGTTTTTGTTTTGTAATACATATAGAATCAGATGATGATGCATATCTCCTTAAAGTTGCCTAGTCCAGGCACCATGTTATGTAACGGTGGGCTGCGGTGGGCTACGGTGGGGTCCACGATGTTACGTCATTAGCCATTAAGGAGACACTAAATGAGGTTATATGGAGACAAATATTTAAACTAATAACTTTATTTTTATTCAACTAAACATAATTTTTAAACATATTACGAGGTGACAATTATAAAACATCAAAGCCACGAGTGGTCTAAATACCTAACCACTCTGCTTAGGCTTCTTATTATGATGGGTAAAAGGAAAGGCCCACCTTCGTATACCTACTATCTTCCTTGCATCTCCTTTTCTGATTCCAAGGGTTAAGTCTAGCGCTTTCTTGGGCGAGACAGTCTTAAAGCTACACGCGAGCTTTTGCTTGACCCTCTGGAACTTTCTGTCCACTCGTGAACTCAGAGTGTAGAGGATATCAAGTCTTGAGGTATCCTGTACTCCTATCTCGTCATGATTTTCTTCAATAGTATCATATATAGGGACGTCTTCAGTGTTGCTGGCTTCCCTGGCCTCTTCGGCGCTTACTGGGGGTTCTCCGGATAGAATTTCTACAATGCCGAAAGGAGTATATGGCGGAAGAATTTCAGGGGTGTATACAGGAAGGTACTCCCCTTCAAATCCGGTTTCGTTTTCGTTTTCAAAATCCCCTGCGGGGATTCTAATAACGGGCTGTGATATAGATCTAACATAGCTCTCTTGACCATTGCCCATAGTTGGCCGCGTATTTTCCATACTTGACTCTTCACTCGTGTTGAGTTCCGCATTCCTAGGAGGCAAGAGCTCAACTAACCCTGACTCCATGGCGTTGAGCTCTTCGTCAGTGTATATATTGATTGCACTAGGAAGCCTTACGTTACTTGTGCTAGACACTGGTTGTCCAAAGTTCGCTTGTATCACTTTAATAACGAAGGTTAATATGTGGTCTTTATAGGAAGATAGGTATATATAGGGATTTGAATGTGTATCGGAAGCACTAACTCCTAAAACAATCTGCTAAGAACTTCTGGCTCTCGTAGCAGGCCAGAAAGGGGAAAGGGGGAGGGAATATTGGTGTTACATACTATAACTACAAAAAGCGTCAACATCGTCCCAATATGGTTTCGCTAAAATCTCCTCGGCTTCTTCAGGGGTCATGACATATTTGTAATTTGAAAAGGCGTAGTCGATCATAAGGGTTTGTATATAGACGTTGTTGTTTATTGGATTATGAGAGGGGATAACAGGTATGGCCATGGTGATAATAATCCCTGACAGGGTTCTTTGTTAGTATATAGTTAAGAAGAGGTCCTGGAGGAGCTGGACAGGAAATATCTCCATATTCTAGTGATACCTATCATCAAGCACTTCAACCAACTATGAGGTGCTTCTGAGATATTGTATCTGAATTCGTGGCGAGTGAACCAAACTGTACTGGATCTTGAGTTCTTACCAAATGTCGAGGGAACAAGTTAATATGAAACTTTAGGCGCTTTGTCATAGGAACATTTGTATCGACAATATAATAAAACTTTGCGATTAGAATAATCATTGTCAAGACATCTCCCTTTGTTCCCCTCGAGATTAAAGTCTATTTATACATCTTGATACATGCAATGTACCTAGTATAAGCTTATATAGAATACTCAAGGACGAAGTATCTCGGTGTACCTTCTTTATGAATTTCTCTTCTCTCTTGCCGATCACGGCTTTAGATAGGTACACAGTGGTTAGCTGTAAATGATGTAATTATGGAGGACCTGACTTGTAGTTAGATCATATAATGTGTTAAGACGTGGCAAGATTTTCATACTAGAATTGGAAGATCAGATTACGGTGCGCGTTTTTAGAATAGATATCTTACGTACCTACATTCCGAGCAAGGGAGATGTGCCTAGCCCTTAAATAAAGGAGGTAGCTATGATGATAATACAGGTACATAAGGCGCATGCTATGATATAACTAACACTTCTCCTAACACTAGAAGCTACTAAGTATAAACGCCTGTCGTGAGTCCTGCCATTTGTCTCTGCTTTTTAGATACGCATAGCAATACAAGCATAGAATCTATCGAATTTTCTTGACATCGTCGTTACTCATGGCGCTTTCATTATTGCCCGAAAATTTGCGAGTGCCATAGATCTGAATCATGTGTACCTCTCTATCTCGAAGTACCTAAGAAACTCAATGCATTCCTTGAGAATTCCTTCCTCCTGGGGTATTAATGGCGAGGGACATAAGGGGGGAAGTCGTCGTGTATTCTCAGAACCTGGAAACACCAGGTCTCAAGCGCCGTCATAAGAGCCATATACCCGAAGTGTCGACCCAATTCGCCGGTCTTGCCGCTCCCAAGGAGCTCGAACTTGAAGGGACTGCGGCTTATAGGCACTAGAACCCTTTCGGTCGCCCAAACGGCGACTATTTCCTTGCCATCGCTGCTCTCCCCCAGCTGTCTCGATTGCCTCTTACCGCCTCGTCCGTCACCAGGTCCTTCGGCCCCTACTCGTACCAGCTTAAACCCTTTGGCGTGGTTGAACATGGCTTGGATCTCGTTGCCTTGGGTAGGCCGCCATTCAAATTTCTCGCTGTGTAATTTCTCGCCCTTGCCCACTTTCATTGAGAACTGGTACCAACGATGAATAAACTCCTGCTCGGGGTTCATAGTTGAAGTGAAAGTGTTAGGGTATTCTCCTATGAGGGGAGGAGGGATGATATTGTTGGCCATCCTATATCCCTGATGGAACATGCCTATCTCTTTTCCAATTGCCGAGATCTGGCCGTCTGTGGTCGATCCTTCGTGAAGAACGAGAATTGTCTTTGATCCGATAGGCCCCATCGACACTGTGAAGCGGAGGTCGTGGGCGTGCTGACCGAGGCTGAATTTCATCTGATAAGGATTGGTATAGAAAGCCTTTAGATAATGGGGGAATTCCTCGGCCATGTTGAAGTCTCTTTATATTGTTGTTAGTTTATGATCAATTTCGTTATTTACGGTCAAACCCTACTGTAACCTCAAGTGACAAGGCGTGTAAACGTATATAGTAGTGTCGAAAAATTGACAATTTAGAGTAGCTATGATAGAGCTAAGGCCTGAATCCCGACTTAGAGCAGTGTTGAGATTATTACGTCCCTGAAGTAATGCTGGAATGATGGTTCCAGTACCTATTTATCTGGACAGAAAACACTCGGTTTTGAGGTTGGGGAGAACTGAGTTATTGACCTTTTTAATCGTATATTGAAACAAGCATCAACTAGACGAAGTAGGTAATGAAGATGGAGTATGGAAGTAATGATGAGACTGGGAATCCTGGGGGGAAATGTTGCTGGATACCTGATGAGTAGAAGATGTGCGAATTGAATGAAGGTTCGTAAATTTTTTGCACACCGGCAACCAAAACAGGACTGTTCAATAACACTAATATTTGTTTGTATATATCTATATGAGCTGTACCGGGTGAGTCGTATGACGAAGTTGACAGCTGCTTAACACCTAAGAAACCTAGGTGCATAATATGAAGGAGCCCCGAGAAAGCATGATTTGATATAAACCCCATCATCCTATTTATCATCTTTAGCACCCTATATGCTTACGTAGGAGCTGATATCTTACCCAAAGTAAATTTTAACATGAATTATTGTTTGAATTATTGTTTACATAACAGCTGGTAAATCATAGCCCAATATTAAAACCACATGTAGAGCTGCCTTCAGGAGCCCCTCTCTTATTCCTCAAAAAGTAATCAACTATCTACACATGAATATGAAAGCCGGATATACCTTGAGCCTCGTAAGACCAGACCTTTAATGCGGTAGCTATGGCGAAGTAGCCAAATTGGCTACCCAATTCCCCAGACTTGCCACTTGCACGTAACTCAAATTTGAATGGTTTGTTAGTTGGTATCAAGTTCAACGGCATCCAGTTCTTTTCAGTAGCCCAAACAGCGACGACCTCTTTCCCATCGCTAGTCTCATCCATATGTCGGTAGTCTCTTTTGCCGCCCTTTCCATTCCCGGGACCATAGCTTTTAAGTCGTACCAACTTGAATCCCTTGGCGTGCCTGAACATATTACACACCTCGTTTCCTTGAGTGGGTCTCCACTCAAACCTCTCGCGGCGTGAATCTAGTTGTAAAGAGAATCTATACAGGTGACGAAGATCATCCTTGTGGTTAGCCATGATAATGGCAGTATCGTCAACCTTGACTGTGGTGCTGTATGTGCCCTGATTGTCTTTCGGCATATCGACTGTTGCTAGGACGCTACCATTGTCGGTAGAACCATCATATAGAACCATAAGTGGGCTCTCCTGACAGAACGTATCCATGGTAACCGTGAAGCGCAAATCATGAGCATGTGCGCCGAGGTTGAATATGGGAATGGTGAATCGGTTCGGAAAGGATGCCTTGAGGTAGCTGGGGAACTCATTATCCGTTGCCGACGACATCGTGAGATACAGTTGGAACTCTTTGGAATTGGTTAATAAATTGATTATATTTTGTCTCCTGCCAGTAGAACTCACGGTGAACTTGAATGCACAAGAGTATTTGCCTTGGAGGGATATTGGTTTAAATTGATGGTTTCTTGACGATCCAATGTCCAATGAAGGTTGAAAGGGTAACTTGGAAAGGAGAGGTATAAAGATAGGAAGAGCTTTAGGCATGAAGGAATTATTATTATGCGAATATTTTCTGGAGCTAAATGGGGGTATGTATATATTCTTTTCCTTAGTCCCGTAAGTTAGGATTTTACGCTTAATCGTACTTTACTTCGTCATTTACGTACCTACTGACTGTAGTGTCTTGAACATTTTATCTTAGTCACTAGTAAAGGGGCTTGGTAACTGGGGGAACTGAGTTGGAAATAGACCTGAATAATAGGTATCTATACGTGTAAGAGCGGTATTGGGTCCGAATCATGGAATTGACAGGCGCCAGAGACCTAAGTGATTTGTAGTATCAAGTCCTAGGTGAACAAACCACCTGAGTTCAGTACAATCACTACATACAGAAGGTCCACCCTAGGCCATGGATCACCACCTTGGCTACAGGTTGTGAGTTAATAGTATATAAAATATATTTGGGTGGGATACAAATGGCTACGGTTAAGGTTACATGAATTGTTCCGCATGGTTGGTACCAGTTGTCAATGCTCATGTGGCACTGGTTTGCCATGGACCGCATCGTACCTCTGTACATCTTCCTGAATAATATGAGAAGGGGTTTACGAAACTATCCCCTGACCTCTGCTTTATAGCTTTCAACCTCATAGGCTTGCGTTATTGGCTATTTGCTAGCTTTGAAACACCAGACATCAAATTACGTGATTGTTTATTTACGGTTTGATTCACCTTACGCTCTAGTAACAAATAAAATAGACCAAGCAATTGCCCTCCACTTGTAAATAAGATAAACATCATCAAAACAGATTAGCTCATGATACACGATAGAGTACGCCCCCTTTATGCTTTTGACAATTGATCGAAGAAACTGCATTTCTAACAAATAGTAGAAGGATATTTCTGACCACGAAAGCTACCTAGGTAAAAGCGAAGGCAGACCCCAGCGTGGCTATCAAAGATCATGCTTCTTGTAGGGCAGCGAGGATCATGACCTACCTAGGCATACGCGACTAGGACACCTTGAAGGCAATGCGTGATAGAGATTTCGAGGATACTGGATGATACTGAATATATAAGAGGCAGGTTAGTAGCATTCGAGTTGAGAAGAAATCTCAGGTATAATTTGGATAATCAACGAACTTTGAAATGGTCAACATGTGGTTTGCCATTCAAGTGCCGATGGGTTGTACAATGCCCCGCTGCTGATGATAGCCTATAGGGCTGATTACCATGAATTAGGTTAGGTACGTGAAAAGGGGGAACCCCTCACCTCTCATCTGGAGTTTATAGCTACTAATGTGGCATAATCGACTTGAACTTATGTATAACACATTACGATTCAGATCACCATTAGAAAGCCTCCAAAATGCTGAATAAGAAAGTTAAAGCAGCTGCTGTACACGCCGCCCCAGTATATATGGATAAGGCTGCCAGCCTACGTAAAGTGGTTGACACCGTTTCTGATGCATCACGCAAGTCCATCGAGCTTCTCGCTTTCCCCGAAGTTTTCGTACCTGGATTTCCCTACTTCACGAACTGCTATGCGCCCAACGCTTCGACAGTAGCGCTCTACGCGGCGCAGAGTGTCGTAGTACCAGATGACCTCGGCGAAGTACAAGCCGTATGCGCAAAACACAAGATGGTCGTCGTCTTGGGTATTTCCGAGCGTATGCTTGATGGATACACGTTGTTCAATAGCATCGTGACTATCGACGCAGACGGTACCATCTTAGGAGTCCATCGCAAGGTTCAACCTACATGGGCCGAACGACTTGTATGGGGACAAGGGTCTGGCTACACGCTCAAAACCTATGAGCCTAAAGGTACTGGCTATAAAATTGGTGCGCTTGCATGCTGGGAGCATACCATAAACGGGGCTCGGCAAGCCCTTATCGATCAGGGCGAGCATATCCATGTTGGCTGTTGGCCAGCCCTCGATATTCTCGAGGGTTTCGAGGATGTGGCGTGCTTACAAATTGAAGCATTGATGAAGACGCACGCCTTGACCGCGCAAGTATTCGTACTTTGTCCTAGTAGCTACGTTGACGAGACGTGTCTACAGTGGATGGAAAAGAATCTAGGTCCACAGGACAAGGTGAAGGCTGGCGGTGGTTGGACCACTATCATTCACCCCTTTTGCTCGATTATTAAAGGTCCCCATACGGGCGGCAAAGATATGATAATCGCTGCAGAGATCGATCTATCTGAATTAAATCTGGTGAAGGCGTATGTTGATGGAGCGGGCCATTATAAGCGTCCCGAGCTCTTCAGGTTGGATGTTAATACGGAACAAAGATGGAAAGATGAACCAGATATTGTCGGTCCTATCCCGTGGAATGCATCATAACTTCTACATATTACCAATAATGGTTTTACAAATTTATCTTACTATATCTGTTTGGTGTTAGGTATAGGTATAAATCGGTGGGTCTTTCATGAGTCAATTGAGAACTTCATTGTTTTCCGTGATCGGCCGGGTATAGTAGCGTATTGAAGGCTTACGATGCGGACTTTCGTGACGTCCCCTCACGATACTCTAGTGTGCATTTCTAGTTTAAATATCACAGAAGCTCTGTCATACTGACCCTATTTTCTTTTATTTCTTTTGACTATATTGGAGTTCATCTTATATTCCATCATCATAATGGCCGATAGCAAATCAAAGACAGACTACACTCTTCACGTGTACTTTACCCGATACTCGAGTACGTTAAACACTATAAGGAACCTAAAATAATTGACCAACTTGAAAATTAACTACTGATATTAGGTTGGGGATCGCGGGTAGAACTTATTCTTTCATACTTCCATATACCCTGCGACATCAAGCTTTATGGCATGAATAATCCGGCCGCCGCACCGCCGGCGCGTTTCGCGAAAGGTCTACTCCCTGCCTTACAAGTAAGTGCGGAAGACGAAGATTTTATAATCGTCGACTCTCTTGCCATAAGTGAATTTTTGGCAGAGCAGCACCCAGAGCTTCACTTATGGCCAAAGGACCTTAAGTTAAGGGCATTGGCAAGAACAGCAGTAGCGCAGATGCATTCCGGCTTCAGTGAGATCCGTAATACATATGCGACCAACTTCCTCGGCAAGTATACTGGCAATATTCCCCTCAGCGAATCTGTTGCAAAGGAGATTAGGGGAATGGTTGAACTTTGGAGCAAGGCGCGAGCAGATACTAAGAAGAGGCTGCGAGAGTTGGGTGAAGAAGACGAAGGATTTTTATTCGGCGGCTTCAGTATTGCCGATGCCTTTTTCTGGCCTGTTCTATGGGTGAGTGCCTGGAAGACTTGAGTCCGTACCTATCTTTACTATTACTCATGCCCCAATGTAGCGCTTTCGCAGCTACCAACTACCCCTGACTGGGATTAGTGAAGACGGTTTGAAGTGGATGACGAAGATGTGGAATGACCCAACCATAAAACTTCAGATCCAGGAGTACTTCCGACAAGCAAAAAATCCGTTAAGCAAGATTGAGAAGTATGAGGATATTTTCAAGAGCAACTCTGATATTGAGTATGGCCAATTCACTGAGGATTGGATCTTTGAGTCATAGTTCTGGGATATGGCAAATCGCTATGTTCGGAGGTCCGGACCCAATATTTTGACTATCACCCCGCCGAGTACCTACTCTCCAGAAGTCTTCCTCGGGGGTGGGGTGGCTCCTTCACTCCGAGTGAAGATTAAAAGGCTACTACCGGCCGGACGTTGCGATTGGGGAATGATGAGCTAAGATAGACAAACTAGACCTAAACAGCCTTAATTGTATCTAATAATGATCCAATGATCTAACAATGATCTAATAATAGGGGTATACGTATTTTAGAGTCATACGAGCTGAATAGCATCCAGGCAATGATCCGGGATCTCGGGAAGATAATCTTTCCCGAAGCTGAGATCAATCTGGATTACCTACAATGTTTTATACGCGTAAGGCATTGTCAGCTTCTTATCTTATACGTAGTATATATAGGGCTTAGATATTGCATCACCCAATTCTTGTTTGTCAATATCATCCATAGCTCACTCGAGATGCCTTCTTTCAACCCGGAAAAGGATATACCTGATTTATCGGGAAAAGTTGTATTTGTCACAGGAGGTGAGTCTACAGCTGATATTATATATAGATGAGTTTTAACTAACTGCCTATGATCCAGGTACCTCAGGCATTGGGAAAGAAATAGTTCTCTTCCTGGCCCCACACAATCCCGCTCACATTTACTTTACCGGCCGGAATGAAGAAGCCGGCGCTGCAGTTCTCGCTGCCGCTAAAGCTAAGGGTCCAAGCACTGAGGTCACCTTCGTCAAGTGTGACCTCTGCTCACCCCGCGCCAAGATCCGACAAGCTATTGCTGAGAGCTTCAAGTCAGATCGCCTTGATATATTCATTGCTAACGCCGGCATGATGGCTACACCTCCTGGCTTGACGGAAGAGGGATTCGAGCTTCAATGGGGTAGTAACTACTTCGGGCACGCTGTGATGCTACATCTTTTACGTCCCATCCTGCTGCGCACAGCCGAGAGCGGAGCCGACGTAAGACACGTCGAAGTCACATCGTACGGTCATAACTACGCCCCGCCTGGAGGTATTCAATTCGAGCACTTGAGGGAGCCGGGAGCCGCCGGCGAATTCGCGCGGTATGGGCAGAGCAAGTTGGCGCAGATCTTGTACTGCAAAGCGATGGCGAAGCGATATCCGCAAATCATCAGCATCCCCGTGCACCCGGGCGTTGGTAATACGGGCTTGCTAGAGCATACAAAGCAGTCTATATTAAAGCGACTTATTTCAGCCACCAGGTTCCTGTTGAAGAGCGCGGCCGAATGCGCGTATAACCCTTTATGGGCGGCTACGGCTCCGCTCCAAAAAGTAGAGAATGGGCAATACTATGAGCCGGTCGGGAAGAAGGCGGCAGCGTCGAAGCTGGCTGAAGATGAGGCACTGGCTGATAAGCTTTGGGAATGGACTGCTAATGAGCTGAAAGATGTGGAAGTATTATGATTGGATTGGGATGATTGACGACTTATGAGTGCATAGCGATAAAGGGTAATCTGATGTTTAGTAGGACTGTATTTTTAGAGCGCAGCTTGAACCACCGCCCACCTTAGTGAGCCACGATGCCTTCAATAACATATTTCGCCGCTTCAATTATCACCATCCTCTACCCACTGCACAAGATAAAAATTGTAGTTTCTAATTAATTTCCGGTAAATGAATATTTCCCAATTTATATTTTGGCACTGCGGATTTGCAATCATGAAATGGGTTAGCAACCTGTTACAAATTAAAAGGAACATTCTCGGTAGAAAAGGGGGTGGGGATCTAAAGATGTCTCTCCCTGTAAGTGGGTTTACTTTAGGCCGGTCACTACAAGTTATGGCGCTGTATCTCGCTATAGTATACTATGTACCTCACAATTATTAGTACGATTATTAGTAATATTTCAACTTCACTGGTCCAAGTAATTCCATCTTGGTATAATTTCTTCACCTACTCAGTGCGACTGGAAAATGTTTGAACAGGTTTCTAATTCATCTTAGCTTTACCATGTTCTTCACCTTTGCGTCAACACCTTCTAGTAGCCGCTCATCTCGGCGGAATCCTAGACGATCTAAAGTGGCACGGGCATGCAACTATTGCCGTGTGCACCGGGTGCGTTGTGACGTTGAATTACCCTGCTCGCGGTGCCTGGCAAACAATATAGAATGCGTCTCCTCACCTCCTGGTCAACAACCCTCGGAGAATGCCCAAATTTCTCAGGATGAATTTATACCCATCCAAGAGGCGACCGACCAATGTTCGCAGCCAACTCCGTCTAGTCCCGTCTCATCGAGGCCTGATGGGATGGATTCAACAGTTGGCTTCATGTCTAAAATCAACGCCTTTTGCTCTACTATCTCCCAGTTATCGTCTGATTCCGTAGGTGGCTCGCCACCGCCCCCCTATCCATCCCCGGATGGACAATCGCTACTAAATGAGAGTAACGGGCCTAGTACTGTGCTCTCTCGGTCACAGGTAAAACACTTGCTGGATATCTACTGGGCGCGGTGCCATCCTCTTAAACCTATTGTCAATCGTGCCCGTGTGGATGCACTTTTTGAAACTTTATGGACCCCTGATGGTTCCGAGTTGAAGACTATCCCTGTGGTGGATGGTATCATTGCTCTCTGCTTGAACTACCTGAATAATTCAGGTTTAAGTCGTCGTCTGCTAAGTTTACGCTTTGAGCAAGGGGGCCCTTCTCTTGCGTACTTCAAGCGTTGCCTGGCCGCCACCAGTCAGTATGCTGCTTTTGCAGAGCCATCTTTGGAATGCTTACAGTGCTATGTCCTCATGACTTTATATCTCCTTGATGCGGGTGAACACCAGCCTGCGTATAATATGATCGGATTAGCCTTGCGCATTGCACAGGCGCTTGATTTGCATCATGGGCTACCGGATTCTGACCCGAACGTCTATCTAGCCCGGCGTATCTGGTGGACTATTATTCATCTTAATTTCCGGTGTGCACGATTACTGGGGCGTCCGGTTGGAGTACAACTTGCTGATACGACCTGCCCACCACCACCTACAGATGAGTTTACCTATCATACCCGGGCGATTACTCTTACCAGGGCTACGCTAGCTGTGACTGAGGCCCTCACTCGGCATCCAAATCTTCCAAATGAGGATCGCCTCGCCCAAGTCGTGTCGCGCGCATCCGCCCTCTCCACAGAAGTTTACCGGCTGCATGAGTGGAGAGATCAACAGCTGCGCCCGGCTCTTGGGCGTCCACTTCATGTAGATAGTAAATGGGATAGCAAGGAAGCTTATAGTTGGATCTCTTCTGTGGCCGGTATGAGTCCGTCTCAAGCCTTAAGCGAAGTTTTCCTGGAGCTTCAGTACTATGACGAGATCATCGGTTTGCATCGACCGTTTATTTGTTTCCCTGCTGGGTTGTCAATTCCAAAAAGCAATCCCCAGATAGATGCTCATGCGACAACATCACTAAAACATGCTATAGCTACAGTAGACCTTACTCATCGCATCATGTCTACTACCGATGTTCTTTGTGGGCATGGTGAAATATGGCAATGGCAGTGGAATGCCCTACTCACCTTGATAGGCTTCCTTATGGGATATCCGTTTTGCATATATGCGCCTGCTGCTCGCCACCATGTCCAGCTAGCCTTAGAGATTTTCAGCGCAGCGGACCCGAGGAATTCGATAGCTGTTCGGGCAGCAGCCGTGACCCGCTCACTTTGTGCCAAAGTAGACAATTTGGTGCATATATTGAAATCGAATGGCGGGCGGCCAGCATCCCCCAACACGGAGAGGCAATGCATCATGAGATGGAATAGCCTTGACGCTCCGCTCGATCTTTCACGCCCAAATAGCGACGAATTGTGGTCATGGGTAGATACCACAGACCCTGATGCGTGGTTGACCTACACCGATGGGATCACAGGAGTTCTAGCCGATTTCCCGAATCTTCCGTTTGGTAATGAGGGTTTCTCTCCTCTCCCTTGAAAGCTATTCATGATTTAAATACTTTTACAAGATACCTAGTCTACCTATGGTATATACCAATCTTATCTGTATTATCAATAGGCCGGCCCTTATACCGGTCTTTGTCGGCCAAAACCTGACCCGGCCTGACCGATAACTACCTATAAAGACTAAACGCCGACCCCTCAACATGTCATCATATTCTCGGAAGGGCACACTGTCATTAGAAACTTCGGCTCTAGAAGTTCCTTCAATCAATACGACCTAAATCAATGCCCGTATATATTAATATAGCACGCGGCCGGTTCACGGCCCACCCACTGGCAATATTTTGAGAACCATAGGTGGCAGATGTCCCGAAAAGGTTATACCATCTACTTTGCGAGAACTTGGAAAATAATATGAATTAACTATTGCATAAGACCTTCAGTATATCCATCTCCGATACGTTAACATTAGAATCAATGTCATCCTCGGATTTTGGGAGCGAATGGGGGGTGATATAGCCCATCGTACCCCTAGAAAAAAGGCACGATTTATTTATAGAGCCCTGTTCAGAGAATCTTTCAGTCGGTCAACTCTTCATCCAGTTATTCCAGGTTGAAAAGGAGGCGAGAAGCTTCCAAGAATCTTAAAAGGGTACTGCCCCTTCCGGTTAGCTGCCGGGATACTATGGATCTACGTACTGCCCCGGAATGCTAAATTTGGTATAGCCGGAGCAAATTTCGCCTTATTCAGCAATCATTTTTGCACCCCTATCCGGAGTGTATCCGTATGAAGTAACCGTAGGCTCATGGACGCGAATAAGTCTTACGGAATGAAACTGGAAGAGAAGAGTTCGGTAAAAAGTTTATCGGTCTATGATCCTGCTGAATAGTTGATTCTGCCGATAATGCAATCTTTGATTCCTAATAAAGTGGACGGACACCCCATCAATTAGCTTGCCTGAGCATTAGTTACCAAGAAGGGAAATATGAGAGTCAATATATATGAAGTTAGCATCATTAGCTACTTCTATTAAAGCTAGCTCTTATAAAATGAGAATGAAGCCGTTGATTTTGTCCTAAACATCTTTCAATTCTAGCAGCAGATTGTCGTGATGGAGTTGGTCCCCTTTAACTAAGGCGAGCCCAAGCTTAGCCACGAGGACGTGGCTAGTGACGGATATAAAGATAATAGAACAGAGCATAAGTCTTAACCTAGAAGATTAAGAGGATTCAAATATTTTTTTAATTTTCATTTTTCCTTTACCAGGTACTTAGATAACTATTAACGCCACCCACCTTTTACCTAGTATTTCAAGGATGATTTAAGAGATACATACCTAAGGTATGTAATATATTCCTTTTTATAGTGGCATTTCATATATATTTTCAGATAACACTCATTAGTTAGGCGGAATACTATTCTACCAGAGAACGTAGCATGCATATCTTTTATTTGTGAAGTTTATATAATATAAGCACGATCGATCGAGCGTTGAGCTAGTCTATAGTTGGTTGTTGAAGTAGGATAAATAAGCAATAGTATACTCGCAAAATAGACCCCTAGGTAACAAAATCACGAGACGGGGAGCAACGGCATTCGGATGTAACCCAAGTTACCCCTTTTTCGCCTAGATCTAATGAACTGCATGATAAAGCCTCAATTCAAGCTGCCAAGCATGTGCTTACTATGCTACTTTCTCAGCCCAATAAATTCGAATTCTAGCAATGATTGGAAAGCTCCGGCTTCGGCGCCCGATGTGACGCCCACAAGCCGAAAACTTCCAGGACTGACTTGATGGAACAGTGACTCGAATTCAGCGACAGTGCGTTCATGCGAATCATGTGCTCCGAGCATAAACGTATCTTCTACTCTGCATAGGCTCAACATATTAGTATTTAAAGTAGCAATTGGGAAATAAAAGCTTTGCTATAAAATGAAAGAGAAGGATATAGCAACTCACCGGACCATTTTACTTGCAAATGTGTTCAGTCTCTTCGCAGGCGGTTCTGGAACAATACCCTCGCTGATCAGAACCCTGGCCCCTGGCTTTAGGGCCGGAAGCAGCGACGACAGGATTTTAACAGAGTCCTCATCCTGCCAATCGTGTAGAATATGCCGGTATATATAGATATCGGCTTGAACTGTTTGTGGTTTGAAGAAATTATATACTTCAAAGCTAACGCGCGACTTTAGAGATGGATCTTCAGCAACGGCGCGTCGTCCCATCTCTAACGAAGAGAGATTGTTATCCTGGACAATGAATGTTGCATCGGGCATTAAGGGCGCCAATGCTAGGACTGTATGACCGCTGGAGCCACCAACCTAACTTCTATCAGTTCACGAGAGAATAGGCAAAGGTGAAGAAAGGGAGTACTTACATCAACCACCTTAACCTTTCCCTTGGATTCCCATGGCCAGGCTGCACGCAGACGATCAACAGACCACAAGGGTGTGCTTACTCTTCCAGCTAAATACTCATGGTATCTCTTATTTGCGGCTTCATTTTTGTGGAAATGAACGAATAACGACTCCTCCGTGTCGTATGCCAGGTTGAATGCAGTGTGGGGGGCGTGCGCCGGATCGTCGCGCTTAAGCACAACTGCATCCGGTATTTTCATCATGATTTTCCCGAGATCTTCCGCTCCGAACCGTACGATATTACTCAAGTGCGGGTTCTGCACTAGCGCAGCCGACGATGCTGAGTGCCGAATGACGTTGGGTGATTCCTCGATAAATACACCGTTGGCAATCCCATATCGTACTATTCGAGCCAGTAACGGTTCAGGAATGCGTATAGCAGCAGCGAGTTCCTGGGTTGATATAGACGACCCTAGTGGTACATGTTCGGGGATCCTCAACCGGGTAATCAAATCGATGTTTACCGTGTCTGTAGTCTACAAGGTGATCCAAAAGGTATAAGCAATATTCCCACCGAAGGGCAGAGAGAAGATAATTAACTAAATAATCGGAATAGTACTGACCGCCCAAGTTAAAGTCAGAATATGTTCGGTTGGACCCTGTACCAACCGTATGAGGTCGTGGGCTGTATCAAGTATTCTGTTGCGTGCTTCCCGCAATGCCTTTCCTGTTGGCGTGTCCGTTTCATGCTCGAAATCCCTGAATCCGGACTCTTCAAAGGTTGGGGAAGGCAAACCCTCTCCTTGGAGCAGGGACGAGAGCCTCGAGACTTGTTCCGTAATGGATGATGCTAAATTTTCAATAGAGGACATGATTATGGCGAATATGGGGCCAGGTTTTTAGAAGATACCTGGGTAAGCTAATAATAATTATCGAGCCCAGGCGTCCTTGAGCTTTTCTATCAGGATATTTTAGACACATGATTGGAAGTGGGTCTTAACGATCCAATATAAGGGACTGATTTCCTTTGCTTAGCTATTCTAAGTCAGATAAAGCAAGTAAGCAAGTAGAACATAAGAGCTTACATTGATCTTCTTAATATGTCGATTAAGTATAGATTCCGGGATGATATGTATGACAGCCGAGTGCCCCTAGCCACAGGCCGAGACCGCATGTAGAAAGAGGATTCGGGATATCCCCCAGAATGGATAGGTGTACTTCCTTTTCTGGATGATCTTCATATTTATGTCTAGATCTTGTTATGATGCATGTGTGACATGGTTCATATCTCGCAAGAGTTGGTAAGCGAACGTTAAGACTCTCGGGTTCACCTCTATCGCCGAAATATACTAACCCCGTTGGATCCAAATCTTTATACATAACAACCCTTTACCTACCTGCCTACTTAGTATCAAGATATTTTACCCCTCGTTTAGCCTTAGATAATGCACGTACGGCCCGCCGTGTCCGGCCAGTCTCTTGCTATTGCTAATCATTTTATATTCTAATACACGCATTAATGTCTAGTTCTTTTATGGCCAATGGTACGAGTTTGGGCAGGGTATATGTATTACCTAAGAATCTTTAGGATCACAACCAGAATAAGTATAGTAAACTAGTATGACTAACGCGTCCACTTTCTGTTATTGGCCTTTTAGAACTCTTGTATATAGATCTATACTATTAAAGACAAAACTATTACCACGTATATTATATAAATGAAAAGTAATATGTTGGGGGGGGGGACGCCTTAATTGCTAACAAGTAATTATACCTTATATATAAAACAATTACACTTGCTATTCTTAAAAATAGTCTTCGAGGGATATTTCAAGGTGGCTTTCCACAATTACGATATGCCTGGACTTGAAAAGAACGAAGTAATATTGTCTTTCATGTAGTCCCCAACGCCCTTTCCCATTTCTCCCAATCAAGTAGCGATGTATAGAAGCACTATTACCTAACCACCAAAAGCCACTCTTATAGAATGTTAGCCATACGAATCCTGCGCTTCCGTAGAGTATGTAGCGTTGATTATGCAGCTTGTGACTATGTGGCATGTATTGGGTGGTTTGAATCTGAATGCCGTATCGCTTAAATAATATATTGCATGTGCCCATTCACGTACATAATTAATCAACTAGGCCGACATATTTCCAAGTTTATGAGTTATGTATCTTAACTCTTATTATCTACTTCACACGAAATCAAATTTATTGGGAGTGCTTAGGAGATACCCATTGCGAGGCCGATATTATGATAGGGTTGGTGAATTCCACAAAGATCAACGATAAAGACTTTACGCAGCGAAAGCTAGGATATGGATATAAGGATTCGAGGAAGGAGATTATCAAAAAGAAAGCAACTATTCAAGCTCGAAGGGGCCAGATGGAGTTGTACTCTGGCGGGGGAATAAGTCCTTTCTTTTGGCATACCATTCTCTCGAGATACACGGCTTGTAATCTCACAAAAAACTCGGAAAAACTCATCGCCCTGTCTGGTGTTGCCAAAGAATTTCGAGCCGCCAGTGGCGATACATATCTAGCTGGTCTGTGGAAGCAGTCACTACACTATGGTCTTTTGTGGAGAAGGAAGGCTAAGAGAGGAACCCGGGTTCAACGCAACAAATCCTATACCCCGTACTGGAGTCGGGCTTCGGTGGCGGCCGTAGGGACGGGGAGTGGGGTCAAACTATCTGATATTTAATACAGGAAACAGGTGGATCCGTTAATACAAGTGACTGACGAAAGGATCGTGGCAGAGCCTCCTGGTGGGGATACTACTGGTCTCCTTCGATCCGCAGAGCTCGATATTAAATGCAGACTATCCTATTTTCAATAGGAAAATGAGGGTTGGGTTGTCAAGTTACACGTTAACGAAGAGAAGACACAATGCTACGGCAGATTCACGTGGGCGGACATATGTTTCGACATGTCAGATCGAGCAGAAAAATTCGCAGAAGCAGAAGTGATTGAAGGCACTTGTATCCCGATAGGTAAAGTGGAAGATGAAGCCCTTCATGTGCTCATGTTAGAACATGTGGAAGGCAAAAAGTTTCAACGAGTTGGCATCTTACAGTGTGACTGCAGAGGCTACGATATAGGGGGTTTCTCGGATGAGTGGAAGGCTTGGTGGATTAACGGGGCTATGAATAATTCGACCGGACTCATCACTCTTGTATAATATGATTGCTCATTCATTGACCGGGCATAGTTGGGTTGGGATTAAAAACACACATATCAATCATCCTGGCTGCCCAGTCGTTTGTGAACGTATTTGAATTATGGCAATGATGTATTAGGTACGGTGATAAGCATATTTATGTACTTAAACTGTATAAGAAAATAAGGAATTATAACTTATATATGTATTAAAATATAAGTAAAGTTAATATAAATTAAGTATAAATTTATATAAAATAAATATATAAAAAGGTGTTTTATATTTTTATAAAAAAATAAAAAATTAAATGTTAATAAATTTTTATTATTATTTTTTCGAAAAAATATTACGTTTAAACTTTTTTAATTATATAAAAAATACATCTCGAAATATATCCCGAAATATATTTCGAAATATATTTTAAAATATATTTTAAAATATATCAATAATTATATAAGTAATTAATAAATTAATAAACTTTAATATTTATAAATTTAATTAATTATATTTTACATTACTTTCGTATTATCCAAGTGTTTTTATTAAGTGCATTTTTTATAACTTTTACACTTTAAAATCAATTAATTAAATACATTGCTTTTTACTTTTATATCGGTAATATATTTTAATTAAATACATTTATTTAACGTTTTTAACTTTTAACTTTATAACTTTTAACTTTATAACTTTTAACTTTATAACTTTTAACTTTATAACTATATGCTTACATAATTAACCACAATGACAATAACCTTACAAGTGGTTAATTTGAAAAATGACCGGTATATAAAAAAATAAAAAAATAAAAAAATAAAAAAATAAAAAAATAAAAAAATAAAAAAATAAAAAAATAAAAAAATAAAAAAATAAAAAAATAAAAAATAAAAAATAAAAAATAAAAAATAAAAAATAAAAAATAAAAAAGAAAAAATAAAAAATAAAAAATAAAAAATAAAAAAAAATAAAAAAATAAAAAAACAAAAAAAGAAAAAAAAAATAAAAAAAAAATAAAAAAAAATTAAATAAAAAAAAAGTTTTTTTTTTTTTTAACAGGGTAACCGCTTTTGGGACTTAGAAGTTTGAGCGGTTTTTTCGGAAAGATTTAACGGATAGTTTTTTTTTTTTTTTTTTTTTTGCCTTTTTCCCTTTTTGGCCTTTAATTTCCTTTTAGCCCTTAATCCCCTTTTAACCTTTAATCCTCTTTTAGCCCCCATCTTTTATAACAAAATTTCGAGACGGATTAAAAGCTTACGACTATTTGTCGATAAAATTTTATAATTATTATATAGTAATTTTATTATTATTTTTAATATTTATTTTATATATAATATATATTAAAAGTTTTTTTTAATAATTTAACATTTTTATTTATTAATATAAATTATTTATTAAAAATAAAATTACTATTAAATTATTATAATAATTTTTATTAAAAAATAAAATATTATATTTTTTAAATAAAAAATAATTAATAATAATTTAAATTATATATTATAAAATTAATTAAAAAATAATAATAATATATTTATAAAAAGTATAAATTTTATTTTAATAATAATTAATGTAATAATATTATTAAATATTATTAATTTAAAAGTTATAATAAAAAAAAATTAAATAAATATATTAAATAATTAAAAAAATAAAATTAAAAAAAACGGTAAAAAAATAATTATAATAAAAATTTAATTTTTAATAAATTATTATTATTTAATATTATTTATAAAAAAAATAAAAATAATAACAATATAAAATTAATAATTTTTTTAAAAAGTTTTAAAATTAAATTTTTTTTATAATATTATTATATAAATAAAAATAAAATTTTATACGTAATATTTTATTTAAAAAATAAAATAATTAAATAATAATTTTAATATATTATTAATAATAATAAAAATTTTAAAAAAATTTTATAATTAAAAATAAAAAAATAATTATATAATATAATTAAAAATAAAAATTTAAAAATATTTAATTTTTTTATAATAATATAAAAATTATATTAAAAATTTAATAAATTATTTTTGGCTTTTTTAAAAAAATATAAAATAATTAAAATAAAAAATTTAAAATAATATTTAAAAAAAACGAAAATTTTTAACTTATTAATTAAATTAATTTTTAAGTTAAAGGTTAAGTATATTAAAGAATTTATGCCGGCGATGTGTAACGAATTAAAAAATAAAGTAAAATTATTTAAATTAATTTATAAAAATTAATGAAAAAATATAAAAAATATTAAAAAAAAAGTTAAAAAGTTTAACGTTAAAATAATATAATAAAAAATTAATAATTATAATATTATTAAAAATAAATAAAAGATTATTAATTAAAGTAAGGAATTTATTTTTATTTTTATTTTAAATATTAAAAATTTAAAGTATTTAATAAATTATTTTAATTATAAAAAAAAAACTATATTAAATTTTATTATTTAAAAATTATTTATTATAAATATTAAAAATATAGATATTTTATTTATAAATATTTATAATTAAATAATAATTTATTAATAATTAATTTAAATAATATTTTAATATAAATAAAAAATATTTAAAATTTTTAATAAAAATTAAATTTTTTTTAAATTTGTTTTAAAATAACAGTAAAGTTATGGATAAAAGGTAAATAAATCTTTTTTAAAATTTTTATAAATATAAAATTTGATTATAATTTAATTAAAATTAATTATATTTTATTAAAAATATAAAAGGATTTTATTTTAAAAAAGAAAATAAAAAAGTTTTTTTAAAAAAAAAAATATTAATATAATTTTATATTATTATAAAAATTAAAAACAATTAAAAAGTTATATAAAAAATTATTAATTTTATTAATATAATAAAATAAAATTTTAATTATAAAACTATATTAAAAATATTATAAATTATAAAAATTAACATTATTTTAAAAAAATTTAATAAAATATAATATTATTTTATTAAATTTAAAAATATAAATTTAATATAAAAAAAAAAGATATATAAAGTTATATAAAAAATAAAAAAAGTACTAATGTTTACAATAATAGTAATAAAAAGTAATAATAATATTATAATTTTATAATATTTTAATTTATAAAAAACGTTTAATAAAATAATAATATTTTTTATTTTTAAAAACTATAAAAAATTTGCAAATATTTTTAATATAAAAAAAATATTTATTTTTTTAAAATATTAAAATTAAGATTATTTTATTAATTTTAAAAAAGATAAAAAATTTCTATTTAATTTA